ATATAGATAGATAGATATATAGATATATAGATATATAGATATATAGATATATATATATATATATATATATATATATATATATATATATATATATATATATATATATATATATATATATATATATTGATATATATTGATATATATTTTTTGATGTATATATATAGATATAGATATATATTTATTGATATATATATGTATATATATATATATATATATATATATATATATATATATATATATATATATATATATATATATGTATATATATATGTATATATATATATATATATAAATATATATATATATATGTATATATATATAAATATATATATATATATATATATATATATATATATATATATATATATATATATATATCAATAAATATATATCAATAAATAAATATATATATATATATATATATATATATATATATATATATATATATATATATATATATATATTTATTTATTTATTTATTTATTTATTTATTTATTGATATATATTTATTGATATATATATATATATATATATATATATATATATATATATATATATATATATATATATATATATATATATATATTTGTATATTGATATATATATATATATATATATATATATATATATATATATATATATATATATTGATATGTGTGTGTGTGTGTGTGTGTGTGTGTGTGTGTGTGTGTGTGTGTGTGTGTGTATGTATGTGTGTGTGTGTATGTATATATATATATATATATATATATATATATATATATATATATATATATATATATATATATATATATATATATATATATATATATATGCAGGACTATGTGTCCAACCAATAGCTACACTGTGAGACTGGTAAGGGACCTGTTACTTGCGTAATCCAATAGTGCCAATTTAGATTCTATGAGCACCTAGCTCATCAAGTTGTCTGTCTGTGAGACAGACCTCGGTGAAAGAGGCCCATGGAACATCCTAGGAGGTCATGGCTTGGGCAGCTTGACCAGTCCTGTCACAAGCAGTTAGAGATGAGCCAAGGGCCTGCTTGGAAGCAAAGGCTGGATGCGGCCATGCCCCCACATTGGCTTTAGCCCCCCGATGATGATCACACACACACACACACACACACACACACACACACACACACACACACACACACACACACATACACACATATTATATATATATATATATATATATATATATATATATATATATATATATATATATATATATATATATATATATATATATATGAATATATGAATATATGAATATATGAATATATGAATATATATATATATATATATATATATATATATATATATATATATATATATATATATATATATATATATATATATATATATATATATGAATATATATATATATATATATATATATATATATATATATATGAATATATATATATATATATATATATATATATATATATATATATATATATATATATATATATATATATATATATATATATATATATATATATGTATGTATGTATATTTGATATATATATTTATATATATATTCAACTAACACTTCAACTTCCCACATTATATTCAGAATAAATAATGTGGGCTTCTCACATTAGCCCAGATTTTTTTCTTTCTTTATTTATTTATTTATTTCTTGACATATATTTATCTGCTTTAGGCAGTTTTTCTCTAATCTCTCAAAGCTTCTTGATGTCCAGTGAATATTTTTTCCTTTTTTCTGGGAGTAAATTTTACACTTTTGGAAATATTTATTGAATCACCAAAAGTCACTAAAAGAAATGAACTTTTCATGATTTTTTTTTTTCTTCTTCTTCTTCTTCTTCTTCTTCTTCTTCTCCTTCTTCTGCTGAGTGATTGTGCTTAATAGACAACCAACGAGCCATATCCTATTTATGTTGAAAATGCTCCAATGCCTGTCACTGTTTATTAGAAATATTGTACATTTTTAGTCAGCATTGTTTATCACAACCTCCTCACCCCCAGCAGCAGAGGATGGGCTTGGTAGTGACCAGGAGAGAGACGCCAGCAAGATCGCTGCTCTGCCTCCCTCCAGGGTCCACTTGTCTGGTTCTTCATCTCCCGTGGTTCAGGTGGCTTGTGGGCTTCATCATACAGGTGAGAAGAGTTACCTCACCTATGATTGAAGAGGAAAGCAATGCAGAATAAGTTGGGAGGTTGATGTTTCTAAAAAGTGTTGGTTTATATATTAGATATATCAATATGATTTTAAAATGAATATGAGAGGTTGATTTAAATAATTCAACATTTTTGTGGATATTTTTTCTCTAAGTTATTGGAACCTTATACTGTACTTTTCAGTTGTGCTGTGTGCCAATGGTGAGACATATACTTGGGGTAGCAACAGCTATGGCCAGTTGGGTGTGGGTGACCTTATCTCCAGAGGCTCTCCCATTATGGTGCGACTGCCTCCTAATGTCCGAGTCACACAAGTAGCAGCAGGGAGCAATCATACTATCTTCCTGACT